TCATTCCAGAGGNTGCAAATACCTAGGTCCATTGCCATGGAGCGCTTTAAAAGTTGTTACTAACACCTTGAAGCGCACCCGGAAGGCCACCAGCAGCCAGTGCAGCTCGCGCAGGAGAGGTGTTACATGGGAGCATCTAGAGGCCCCCAAAATCCCCCGCGCAGCCGCATTCTGAACTAGCTGGAGCCTCCAGGTGCACCTCAAGGGGAGCCTCATGTAGAGAGCATTGCAATAGTCCAGGTGGGAAACAACGAGGGCTTGAGTGACTGTGCGTAGGGCGTCCCGATCCAGAAAGGGGCGCAACTGGCGTATCAGGCGAGCCTGATGAAAAGCCCCCCTGGCCACAGCCGTCACATGATCGTCTAAAAACAGCCGAGCATCCAGGAGGATGCCCAGGTTGCGGGCCCTCTCGGCGGGAGCTAATGACTCACCCCCGATAGCCAGAGATGGAACCAACTGGCTATGACATGACGCTGGAAACCACAGCCACTCAGTCTTGGACGGGTTGAGACGAAGCTTGTTCCTCCCCATCCAGACTCGCACAGCCTCCAGGCACCGGGACATCACTTCATTTACTCAACAAATGATGCTTCAAGAACTCAAATTTTCATACACCTTCCTATAGTTTCATCATAATTCTCCAAGACCTTTGGCATCTAGGGTCAAGCTAATGAAATTTGGCAACTGCATGGATACAATAAAAGACAGCTGTTTGGTCCTCCCCCCATGGGATCGAGTCTGATCTGTCTCCTCTCAGTTTGATCAACAACATTGCAAGCCATTGAGTTTCTGCTGATGTTCCCATTCTACCAACCAGTCCCACCGAAGGTGCCAGGAGTCTCACATACTGTTGGAGGAATGCAAGGACAGGAACAGAACACTGGGATAAAGGAGTGAAGGAACCAGAGGGAAGTTCCCACGCAGTGCAAGCAAGGTTCTTGGGAGTGTGGCTCATTCAGTTTCTTAATTTATTTCTGAATAAAGATGAAACAATCAACATTTTTTAGCAATACTAGTTTGTGTGGGCCTACTATGGTTTACATGTGCACAGGGCTCATGGTCTATGCACATAAGCATACAGTTCAGAAGAAATATTGGTGAATTGAAGAAATACTGCTGAGTCCTCCCTATTTGGATGGTCATTTCATATCTGCTGAGAAGTTTCTATACTTTTCCTCTTTCTAACCTTAATCCTAACCATTCATCTTTCAAAGTGAAGGATTCATGCAGTTGAGTGCCATTCATGGTTACTCAAATAATAGACCCCTCACCTTTCATGACAGTTGCCTCCCTCCCTTACTAACTGTAAATCCTATGAATTCTTTGGGATAGGTTTTCCGACAAATGTTCAAAGTTAAGGCAGTGCAATATTCCAGCTTCTCTATTGTGGGATTCAATGCCTTGTAGATTTTGTAACAATAAAACATATCACAGAGGAATTTACTGTAAGTGTCATTCAGTACTTATTTATCTGACATATTTATATGCCACTGTTATTATTTATTTTGAATTCTGTTGAAATTAAACTTGCTGAAACCATAGACTAGTTTTATCATTTGTAATATTATCCAGCTTCGCAAAAAGTTGGTGAATGAATTATGTACCTTCTGTTACTGCTTACATGTTCCCTCTTGAAATTTTTGCTTTGTGCATTTATTTGAAGAAATGTTTAACAAACAATACATCATTGTGTACAGTGGGGCAGATAATTTTTCCTCAAAATTATCAATTGGGAAATTGTTTTCCTTATGACCAGCTTTTTTCTAACTGTTACCTTCTGTTCAAGATGGGGGTGAAGGGAATTGTAGTCCAATGGATCAAGAAGTCATTTAATGGAGGAAGGTTGTCTATGGGTTTTTTTTTGGGGGGGGGGTTTACAATAAATAGAAAAATTTGCAACAGAAATTTGCCAACCGGTTTCATTTAACAATTTCTGCAAAATAAAATAAAAAAAAAAAACACTTTTAGCATTTGGTCAGTGTCGATAATATAACCCTTACAGTTGCTTTGGTGTTAAAGTAGGTCGCCTATCAGTTCCTCTCTCCTTATGCACCATGTTGATGGAGGAGGGAGATATAACTTTTTCCTCTGATTTGGAGTGCAAATTGGTCAATATGGCCGACTACTAATTTTGAGCAGAAGGACTGTCTTATTTGGAGATTAAAGGGCTGTCCCCGTTCATGGATTATTACAGTGTACATTCCCAGAAGGACTGTACATGATGAACAACTCATAACTGAGACCAGAATACAATCCACTGGAGAAGGAATTGGCAACCCATTATAACATTCTTTCAAGAAAACCAAATGAACATTCATAAGGAGAACATAACTGTCAACATGATATTGGAAAATGAGCTCTGAGATGAAAGGTATCCAGTAAAGTAATGGGGAAGAGCAGAGGACAAATGTGGCTGCTTGATGTGGCTAGATTAAAGCAAAAAGGATGTTGTGCTGCTGCATATTGACCACAGGCAAAAGAAAAGTTGGATGCTGCAAAGATACATATTTCATTGGTATGAGGAAAGTCAGAATCATAAATCAGGGCAAACTAGATGTTGCCAGAGCAGAAACATCAAGGCTGAGCTGGGAATCAGTGAACTGAAATGTACTGGAACATGTCACTTCAGATCAGAGGAGCATCAGATCTACTGTTATTAGGAAAATCAGAGAAGAAATGGAGGAGTCATTATTATTACAATCAGGACACAGATACAATCTCAAAAAGATCGAATGATCTCGATTCAAATCCAAGGTGAAGCAATCTGTATTATAGTGATTCAAGTCTATGCTTTTAGCACAGGTGCAGAGGAAGCATAAGTTGAACTATGATTCTATGACGATCTGCAGTAACTGGATGACAACCCCACCCCACCCCACCCCAAAGATACCCTACTAATTTTTGACTGGAATGCTAAAGATAGAAACAAAATAGCCTCTGGAATAATAGGAAAATTTGGGCCCCATGTGCAAAACAAAGCAGGAAAGAGACTCATGGAGCATTGCCAAGAAAACCCAATATTTGTAGCAAATATTTGGACAACATTGGTTGGACAATATGAAAATCAAGTTGGCCATACACTCTGCAAACAAACTGAGAAGCTCCTCAAAGAAAGAGAGAACAAGATCTGGTTCTAGCTGCAGCTCAGATTATAAACTCCTTGCAAAATGTATGATTTCAAAGACACTATTTCAAAGAAATAGTTTCTGATGGACAATCCTGATACCCACTGGGCCACAAAAAGTCGAAAGCCACTGAATGATTGAGCCAAGAACAAAAAGGCTGCTGGCAAGAGTAAGGCGCCTGCACCAATTTTACTAAAAATAACCCAAAAAAGTGAGAGGAGGATAAATTGAACTCTCCAGGAGATGTCAAATAATCTGCTGTTGTTTCTGCTGTAGTAAAATGTAAGAACAAAGTGAGGAGTGGCCATTGTTTATTTTGGCTTCCTTGAATTTAATTCTTTTGAGGACGCTACATAGTTCCTCAGTTGGCAGCCATTACAGAATAAACAAACATTGCAAAAGAAGGTGGTCATAAATTGGTTGAGAAGAACAATTTGTCTACAAACTTTTCAGCACTAAGACTGCAATGAACTTTCTTTGCCATCCTCCTTGCACAGGTGTGGGGAAGTCATAATACCAATCTGTTATGTAATATCATACAAAAACTCAGTTAATATATTACTCAAATGTACTTGTTCTGATTTGGGATTTTTCTGATTGTTCTCTTCTAAGTACTTCCTTATCTTTTGTTGTGTTTTATCCCAACAACTCTGCTGCTACAACCTTTGTTTTATTTTTATCTTTTTTATCAGAATATATATGATGGACAAAAGCTTTTTGATATTTCTAGAAATATGTTTTTATTTTCTAAAAAAATATATAATTAATTAACAAATACTTCTAGTATCTTCTTTATCTCCCAAAATAGCTCTGGGCACCAAAACATGTTCTTAGACAATAAAAATGTGTGGTTTTTATTGAGTGTGTAAATTGAGTGTGTAGTTGGAAAATGTGATTACCTCCATTGAAAAAAGAGATGAGATGAGAGAGAGAGAGAGAAAGAGACACACACACACACACACACACACACAGAGAGAGAGAGAGAGAGAGGGGGGGGGGTAGCTAGAGAGATAGATAGATAGATAGATAGATAGATAGATAGATAGATAGATAGATAGAAAGATAGAAAGATAGAAAGATAGAAAGATAGATAGATGATAATGATAGATTTTGTAGAAACAGCGTAACCACTTTCCCCCTCTTTATTTAATTGTTTAGATAATATTCAGTTTAGTTAATTATTTCTACTTCCCAAGCATTATTTGTTAGTTCATCTGAATTCTCTTTGAGCTCTTTTTAATGTGTCCAGTAATATTAATATTAATAATCAGATAAATACATTGGTGGAATTCTCTTTTACTAAAGGAGGCTGAGCAGTGGTGGGATTCAGCCAGTTCACACCACTTTGGCAGAACCGGTAGCTAATTTTTTGTTGCCCAGGCCCAGAATGGACTTCTGGAAGCAGCATCCAACAGAGAACCGTTTGTTCACATATTTGAATCCCACCACTGAGGCTGAGACACAGTTCCTTACACTCTTTATGCTCAGCACAGATGGGTTAATTTAGAAAAGGCCAAAAAGTCAAAATGGCACCCACAAAGATGTGATTGAAGTCTCACAAATAAGTAATATTTTAATGGTAGGAGAACTTATGACTGGGTTAATTCCCCACCAAACAAGAACACAATAAGGGCTGAGAACACTTACTGGTCATGAAATATGGAGTAACTACTTTGGGAGGGGAGCTGAGAGCTTAGAATCCCAAACTAGAAACCCTTCATACTGTAATATTGAGAAACAGTGCCAATTGTAACTTCCGTTTCTCATCATTTTGATTGCAGAGGACAATGGACTTCAAGATGACTCCAGTTCTGGCCTTTGTGCATCAAGAATGAAAGGAAATTTGCCGAACTCCTGTTTTAAGATTTCTGAAGAATGGATGGAGAGCCTTTTACCTCCAATTTTTTTTCCTCTGGAAACTTCCCTTCCGAAATTGGCATTACCTTGGAACAGAAAACTACATTTGCCTTTGTGATTTTACTGTTTATTTTCCTTGGTGCTCTCATTGTCCGATGTTTTCGAATCCTCTTAGACCCTTACAGGACTATGCCAACTGCCACCTGGACAGATGGACTTGAGGGGTTAGAAAAAGGGCAATTTGATTATGTTTTAGCTTAGAGCCAGAAATGTAGCTATTTAGAAACATTTCTTGTTCTTACAGAGGAAAAAAAAGCTAAAATTGGATGAACAGATGGGGAACAGGGTGAGCATTTAATGAAAACATGCCTGGGTTTATCATGGCTAGCTATTGCCCAGCTGGAAAAGGGTGATGGACATAGTTTCTGGTTTGTTTTTCTGTCAAACTATTTGATTAATAAGAGCTTCAATTCATATCAGTGCCATGTAAGACTTCAGTCCTGTTCACAAAATAAGCGACTCATCTGGTGGCATGATTTGTTTTGAAATGAATGCTGATCTAACCTGCAGTCTATGTTTTGGCAGATTTCAGCATCTAGTCAGCCTTGGAAGTCCAAGCTCCATTGCTAGACTGGATAATTGAAAAAAAAATATCCCAGAAGAAGCCAGAAGATAGTTTTAAGATACAGAAGGATCTTGACAGACTTGAACATTGAGCACTATCTAATAAAATGAAATTCAATGGTGAAAAATGTAAGGTTCTACATTTAGGCAAGAAAAACCAAATGCACAGGTATAGTATAGGTGGCACCTTGCTCAATAGTAGCAATTGTGAGAGGGATCTTGGAGTCCTAGTGGACAATCACTTAAATATGAGCCAGCAGTGTGCTGCAGCTGCCAAAAAAGCCAACACAGTGCTAGGCTGCATTAACAGAGGGATAGAATCAAGATCATGTGAAGTGTTAATACCACTTTACAATGCCTTGGTAAGGCCACAATTGGAATACTGCATCCAGTTTTGGTCACCACGATGTAAAAAAGATGTTGAGACTCTAGAAAGATTACAGAGAAGAGCAACAAAGATGATTAGGGGACTGGAGGCTAAAGCATATAAGGAACAGTTGCTGGAATTGGGAATGTCTGGTCTCATGAAGAGAAGGATGAGGGGTGACATGATAATAGTGTTCCAATATTTCAGGGGTTGCCACAAAGAAGAGAGAGTCAAGCATCGGACCTGGATATCTCCGAGACCGCCTTCTGCCACAGGTTACCTCCCATCGGCCGGTACGCTCCCACAGAGTGGGTCTCCTCAGGGTGCCGTCAGCCAGACAGTGCCGGCTGGNAAGCGGGTCTGGCCTAGGGAATTTTAGCGGGGTTTTTTAGCCTAAGGGATTTTAAAGGGGTTTTAAATTACTTTTAATTTGACATATTTAAATATTTCGTTTTAATTAAATTTTAATTAGGTATAACATGTTAGTATTTTATCCAATTGTCAGCCGCCCTGAGTCCGCAAGGAGAAGGGCGGGATACAAATGTAAATAAAATAATAAATAAATTATTCTCCAAAGCACCTGAAGGCAGGACAAGAAGCAACAGATGGAACCTAATCAAAGAGAGAAGCAACCTAGAACTAAGGAGAAATTTTCTGACAGTTAGAACAATTAATCAGTGGAACAACCTGCCTCCAGAAGCTGTGAATGCTCTAACACTGGAAGTTTTTAAGAAGAGACTGGACAGCCATTAGTCTGAAATGGTATAGGGTTTCCTGCCTGAGCAGTAGATTGGACTAGATGACCTCCAAGATCCCTTCCAACATTATTATTATTATTATTATTATTATTATTATTATTATTATTATTATTATTATTATTATTATTATTATTATTATTATTATTATTATTATTATTATTATTATTATTATTATAGTCCTTCCCAAGGACCTGGGATAGGCAGATGTGGATGTTTGATGGTATTACAGATATCGTCGCAGGATGGAAGCAGTTCCTAGTAAGGCCGCCTTTTGCAATTGACTAATGGCGAATTTGTCAATGCCAATGGTGTTCAAGTGGTGCTCCAGTTGTTTTGGGATTGCACCCAAGGCACCTATTACTATTGGTACTACCCTTGCTTGCCTTTGCCACAGTCTTTCTATTTCTATTTGTAGGTCTTTGTATTTTGTTATCTTTTCCAGTTCTTTCTTGTCTATTCTGTTGTCTCCAGGCACTGCCACGTCCACTATCCAGACTTTTTTGTCTTTCTTATCGACAATTGTTAAGTTGGGGTTGTTGTTGTTGTTGTTGTTGTTATAACACCAAAGTTAACTATTTTTGTAACAGTGCCAAGAGAATTGAGGGAAACAGCAGAAGTCAGCTTGAAGGCTCAGGTTCTATGAAGGTTTTGCTCCATCTTCTCACCTCCAGAGCTGCTTCCCTACTTCTTCAGGAAGGATAAAAAATAAGCAGCAGAAAAGAGCAATAGAAGTACTATGAGGCTCCAGGGAGTAGCAGAAAGCACGAGCAGGAAGTAGGCCTTGGCTGGGCATGCGCCTGTTTCTGGCAAGCTTTGACGCCAGTCTTGGCAACCATATCAGCTTGATGGGACAACAATGCATCACCTGTTTTGCAACAACAGGCTTACTTTGAAAGCTGCAGGTAAACAGATGCAAATATGGCATAAGCTGAAATTTATCTACCCACACTTGGAAGCTGCAGGTAATCGGATGCAAATCTGCCCTAATCTATGCACACTTGACATGAAGCCAAGTTTTATTTTATGCTCCATGGTTACCAAAAGGAATTGGTTCTCAGCATCTTTTTATATAAACTTTTTGTACAGCTGCTCTTCAATAAATCTCACTTTTTCTGTATCTGTTCCAACTCTTTGTGCTGTACTAACAGAAGATGTTGCTTGCACTGACATAGTGATCTGTGTAAATAACTATTGTTTTATGACTATTTACAGTAATGGTCACGTCAAGCCATCATGTGAAGTTAAACATTTTATCTCCTTTCCTTCTTCTTTTCTTGTTATATAAAGTTTTTGAGTGTAAATGAAACAAGCAATGGAACATGCTTTGATTTCTACCAGAAAACATGTTCGTCATTAAAAGTCTAGACTCTTACTTTGCTTAAGCATTCAGAATTTTTTGGAAATGGGGTGGAGTCGGAATCTGATTCTAAAGCAAGGAAACCTAACCATGATGACATTTAGGGATCCAGCTTTGGAGTCTAAGATACAAAGTGGAAAAATTCACATCTGATGTTCCCCAGCCTGAACATGTTACTCAATACTCTTTTGGGAGCATAAAAACTAGTAGCAGTCAGTTGCAAGTGACACTATCATTCTTTTTGGAAAACCTGATAGAATTCGGCATTGATATTTGTATTTGCCTCCACATCATACTGTCAATCTTTCAAAACAAAATTTATACCCATTTCATATGCTGTAACAACTTTTGTTTGTTTTCAGAAAAGGGTATCTAACTATTGATTGGGAGTTGCCCAGAGTTCTACATAAGGTGGGTGGCTATATCAATCAATCAATCAATCAATCAATCAATCAATCAATCAATCAATCAATCAACCAACCAACCAACCAACCAACCAACCAACCAACCAACCAACCAACCAACCAACCAACTAACCAAATAAATAAATAAATAAATAAATAAATAAATAAATACACAAATACACAAATACACAAATACACAAATACACAAATACATTACATAACCATCCAGTGTTTATTCTAAAAGAGCCTGACTCTTTAGCCCGAGGCAAATTCTATGATGGGGGTAGACAACAGAGTGCATGGAACCTCACTAAGCCTATGAGAGTTATCCTTGAAGGTGTTCTTGACTTGCTAGAATGTAATTCTTTAGATTGCTTTAAGTATAAAAATACACACGTAGATACATGTGTATATAGAGAAAGAGTGGAGCTGGCATCTATAAAGCAAGTGCCAGTCCCTTGTCTGCAAGAATACCCTGTCTATTTTCCATCTGTCTTAGAAAATATAAATGGTGGGTATCTACAGATCAATGCTTTCTTTGGACTCACTTGCTCAGAAAAGAAAGACATTCTGTGAGCTTAAAGCAGTGATGGCGAACCTTTTAGAGATTGAGTGCCCAAACCGCAACCCAAAACCCACTTATGTGTTGCAAAGTGCCAGGGCTGCATCAGCATTGTGGTGCCCTCGGGGGGGGCAGGGAGGCGCCTCTGAGTGCCGCCTCTGGCATGCAAAACCCCGGGGGCGCAAAAATGGACCACCATGCTGCAAGGCGCAAAAACGGCTACCGCTGCGCCACAGGGTGCAGATAAAAGGTGCTGCACCACACAAGAAGGGGGCAGGGCTAGTGAGTATCACACAGGCACTAACCCTGCCCCATTTGCAGTACGTGCATGCTCGTGGCCCCATGTGCGCATGGACACATGTAAAATGGTAGTCGGCCGCTTTGCCTCTTTTGTACTGGGTGGGGCTCCTGCTCCAGGCGGCGGTGGCGGCCTGATGGACCTGCTGCTGGTGGCGGTGGTGCGTGTGCCAACAGAGAGGGCTCTGAGTGCCGCCTCTGGCACGCGTGCCATAAGTTCGCCACCACTGCCCTAGTACAAGTCTGCCAGGAAGGACCCAGGCGACATGCAGGCTTATATAGGGAGACTTGAGCTGCATCCTTCCCTTTTGAGAACTCCAGAATTATGAACAGAAACAGAAGAGTAGCCATTACAGAAGAGGAAGCCTGCCAAAAGTGGGACCCAAGATCTCTCCCCCCCCACACACAGACAATTTCTTACCACAGTGAGCTCGTTGGGGGATGCACCGTTCTGCAGCAAGACGTTGATGATGTGGGTGTGTCCTTGTTGAGCTGCCTGGTGCAGGGGGGTGTAGCCATTCTAAGAAGAAGAGTGAAAGGGGGCTGTTGCAAGAGACTCTCCAGGGACCCCCTCCCCATCCACACAGAGGAAGGGGAGACAACAGATGGGAAGGGGAGGGGTGGGGATCGGAGAAAAATCTTACCCTGGTTTTGGCGTTCACTTTTGCAAATTGCTGCAGGAGGAAATTGACTATCTTTATGTTTCCGTAGTGGCACCCAACGTGTAATGGAGTGTAGCCCATCTAAAATTAAATCCAGACAAAGGAAAGTGCAAAAAGAACAGAAGGATGATAAGTACGGCACTATTAATAATAACGTAATGTATTTAAGCTCCAAGTCTTCTCCTCCACCCCACACCAAGGTGTAAAGTAGCTCCAGTTGTGTTTCTCAA